TTTTCTTTCCCTTTTATTGTGCGCGAGTTGAAACAAAAGTGCATCATTCTTTCTTTCAAATAATTTTACCAAAGTGCGTAAACCACATTTGACGTTAATTATCACTTACAACAAATATGCTAAATTTCAAAGCGCGCCAATATATAAATGTACGTATATTTTGTTAAATTTTGAATAAAAAATTCTAATTTTTTCAGGTATGTTTAGAAATACATCTATTTTAAGAAATTTCATAGTTTATAATTAAAATTTTAAAAAAAATCAGAAAATACCTGCGATTTTTATTTGGATTAAACCTAAACTTTGAAAGAAGGAACCAAGTAAGTTTAATAAAAAAAAAACAGATATTAATAAAAATATACCATATTCGATTAACACTGAGGAGCTAAAATTTTGATAGCTAATGTTTTAAAAACTACTTGTGCGATTTTTACAAAACGCAGCACATTGACATAATTTGAATTGTAGGATCTAAATATGAAAATAATTCGGTTGCGTCATTTCAGAAAAGTCCTATTTTGTGTCAAAATAGCTATATCAGAACAGTACTATATGTAAATCGAATATCGCGCTTTCGAATATCACCCTAAGTCGCGCTTTCGAGACATGAAAAACGCAACTTAAATTTCGTCAATCGATCCACTAGAATGGGAGATATCGAACTAGCCATTTTTGGGGGCTGGTGGTGCAAGTTCTATCTTATCTAGCCCATTTTTTAATTACATTTTCTGTAAAATATCTTCCACGTACGAAGTTTTAGACATGTAAACTCTTCTCATTTGCATGCCCTTTTTATTTTGTTGTAAAACTTTCAAAAAGTGAATCATTGCTTTAAATGTGAAGAATTAACGTAAGTATAGTTCTTAACGTAAGTATAGTTAACGTAAGTATAGATTTTCTTCAGTCCTTGCAATCTGAATACTCTGATGTACTGTATTACACTTAAGTAAAGTGGCTCAGTGCAGCGTGTGTTTTCGAGCGAGTGTGGCTGCTGAAAGATGACACTGTGTCGTTCTTCCATGAGAAAAAGTGTTCTGTGGAGTGCGAAATGTTAGAAGACACAGAATGGCTTTCGGACTTTGCATTTTTCACAGATCTTCTTTGTCATATGAGCAACTTGAATGTCAAGATGCAAGGGAAAAATCAATTTATCGGCGATATCTGGGCCCATCTTAAAGCTTTTGAAGTAAAACTTAATCTATTTGCTGGGCAGCTAGAGAACGACTTGTCTCACTTCCCGAGGTTAAATTCAAGACCCTCAGAAAATGAAGAGAAGTTTAAGAATTATGAAGATGGCTTGAAAAAACTGCATTTTGTGTTCGAAAGCACATTTCACGATTTCAATGCTATTGAAGCATAAATTTATATTTTTATTATGCCTTTCAACGTAAAATGTGAAGCAGTGAGGTCAGATTTGGAACTTGAATTAATTGAGTTGCAATTTAACAATCTTCTCAATCTTCTATATATGCAATATTACAAATCATTATCGAAAGTAAGTTTCTCAAATTTAATACCTAACGACCAAAAAATCAGTGCTATGATTGCTTCATCTTATATATATGAACAAGTGTTTTCAACGATAAAACTTAGAAAGAATTATTTCAGAAGTAGACTGGCCAGATGAGCATTTAGCCTCGTTCCTTAGAATCAGTACATCTCACTTCGTACCTCGATATAAGGAATTTTTAAAAATGAAATCTCAATTGTATTCATCTTATTAACATATTTAAATTGTAATACTTGTATATTGTTTTTAAAATTTTAGAAAAATTTATCTTGGGCCGCCAAACCTTTTTTTTTTTTTTTTTTTTTCGATTTTTGGCCCCGCGACCGAAAACGTTTGCCCATCTCTGCCTTGGGCAGATAACCCTTGTATGCTTTGCCGTAACCCAAATAATCCAAATCCAATGCAATCGGGCTTCTTATTGAACTTCGTCAGTTTTCTTAAAAACGTAAGCAAACATCAGCATTAAATACGATCAAAAGTCACTACCTCCACGGAATTTCAAATCTGAAATCATTGGTGGTGGTCTTACGCATGTTTAAATGCAGTTATAAAATTGTTTTCTACAGTTTATCAACGATTACGTTTTTTCCCTTTATCTCCACAGCATTCTCCACGAACTGAAAAAGAAATAATGAAAAAATTAAAAATAATAAATATGGTTTGAAGTCAATGGCTAATGCAATAATTCAAATTTTAGAATACAGAAAAGCTATAAAAACGTACACATTCTACCTAAAGAATCAAAATTATGTAGTATGCAATGGGTCTTTGAACTTCGTTTTCGCTACTAAAGTATTCCACCCACGAATTGTTATTGTATTTAGAAGAATAAAAAATAACTACAAAAGCACGTGCTCTCAGTTTCCAGTCTACACCTAAAGCGAAACTGCATTTGGTACAAGGTTTTCGCGAAAAGAAGCATGTATGTATATGCTTAAAAAGAATGTTTGAGATTGATCAACTTAAAACATTTTTCACTTTAGATTACCTGTTCTAATGCTTTCATACTAAAAACTAGTTTTCAAGGCTGAAGAGAGAAACATGTAAAGATAAATAAATAAAATCACACATTGAACAATACCTTTAAAGCATTTATTTACGACGTGGATTTTGCTGCAGATTGTTCGATTTAGTACAGAGGATGGTCGCAAATGTTTTAGGCGATTTTCGTTGTATTTGCAGAAATATTTTACCTAAAATGTTGTTTTAAATGCTGTGTTTGAAAACTCTTATTCTTCGCTATCATTCTACACCGTAATTTCCAAGACAATAATGCCTTTTTTAGTATCGGAAGAGTATTTTATCCCATTCCTCTTGAACAGCTTTCTGTCCAGGGTAGACGTCTGGACAACAGAGTCGTAGCTAGGGGTTTTCAGCGCCCAAGGACAACTGAAGATTTCGCGCCCCCTAGTCATGGAGGTAGGAGGTAGGAAGCACTAGGGGCATGGAGGTTGCTTGCCAAGGATGGAAAACATTTAATTCTAAAATGTGGTAACATCAGTTTGGCGCCCCTTCGATTCTGCGCCCGGAGACAGATGCCCCCCTTGCCCCCCTCTAGCTACGCCCCTGCTGGACAATCCGCTTTTTAAAACTACGAAAGTGCAAAAATCCATGGGTAATACATCAGGAGAGTTAGTAGGGATATGAATGAAGGGTATAGCCTTGATATCTATTTCTTGTTCCCCCCCCTTTTTTTTTTTTTTTTTTTGTAAATTAACTGTGGATTTTGAACTGTGAAGGGAATTTTGGCTGCTTGCTTTGTCTTGATGCAGTTCTACTCATTGATGGCATTGTGGGTAGAGAGAAGGTATTTTCATATTTGACAATAAGACGACCAGTTATGCCTAAAACCAAACCCAGGTGGAACTGTAGATTGTCATATTTAAAAAGTATTTGTTTTAATTTGTTCCAATGCATTTAATTATGTCTAAAATCTAGAGGTTAGTCTTTTACTAATATGTGTATTCTAAAATCTAAATTTTGATATTAATTTTTAACTCTAATATCGAAATTAATCATTTAATCGAGAAATATTTGTCGATCGTATGAACCCTCCCTTATCCGAAATTATCCCTTATGCAAAATGCTTAAATATTCCCGTGAAACCTACCGAAGGAACCACACCCGATTCCAAATGTACTGGTTTTCTGAATCTGAACAAATCATTTTCAAAATAAACAATTGATATAAACCTGTTTATTCTGAAAATGATTGTTACTAGAAAGCTCTCTTTCGTCAAAACATTTTCTTGCAAAATTTATGCTTCCCTCACATTTTCTACATTTTACAATGATTTCCGAAAGTTATCCAATTAAAATTATAACGAAAGGTTAACTGCTGTGTCCATTTTACTAAGGACGAAACGCAGCTTGAACAAAAGCCCAAAAATTCTTTACAACTTTCTTTACGTCAAAATAGCGAGTTCCCTAAAATGTTTATTTGATTATTGATCATATTTCTGATTCGACATAATTAATGTCGAATTTTTACAAAATCGAGAAATATTTGTTGAACCTGACATATCCTGAAGGGCAACTTAAGCATTCGAATCTAAGACTATCCTACATATATTTTAAGAAATTTTAATAGAACATTTTATTTATAATTATATATATTATTTCAACCGAAATACATAGCCTGGGTCAAAATGCATGTTCGATAAAATTGTTCTTTTATGGTTGTGTTACTATTATATACGAATTACAACAATTCTACGACAACGGATCTTATGTATGTCGGTATAATTTCTTAATATTCAGTGCTTAGGTGCCCAAAGGCTGCAATGAATTAAATGCAGGAAAATTCTTTTGCGTCTGAAGTCCAAAATCAAGTTTTACGTGACACAAGTTGCGTCAGCGGCAGGAATAATCAGCGAAAATTTATCTGTTGAGAGGATTAATGTCTCAGTTTGACGTCAGAATGCAATCTTCTGCACACGGAATCCAAAGGTTTGCACGCGCTGATCATCTTATCACTTGAGTTACCACTTTATTCTCCACTTCAGAATTTATAAAAGGCCAGGGTCATGACTGCTAGATGCTAAACAGGAGGACCTTTTAGTCTGGCACGTGTAGGGAGAAGCACGATCGGAATTATTTCTGTGCGACCATGAAGGCTTTTTTAAATAGCAATAAGCAATACTAAGCTTCATAAAGTGCTTTCGTGTAAAGAATAAAAGTAAGTTTTAAGAAACTGCCGTATGAAGATTTTTGGAATTTCTACTTAAATGGATACAGCAGTGCAACTGGTTTAGAAATGAGAAAGCGAACTGAATTGAGTAATTAGGAGTATTTATGCTTAAATGTCTGAAAATACATTAACACACGAGAGTACAATGGCAATAAACTTACAAATACTCTGATTTAACTTCAATATTCATTTAAATAACTTTGATATTTATAAGGATACTTTTACATATTACCACTGAGATATTCCAAAATTCCAATATTCTCTTTTTCTACCATTTCATTTAGTTTACTATGTATGTAAGGAAAACACGTAGTGCAAAAAAATGCAAATATTTTTTGTTGAAATGCACTAAGTCGTGGGTTTCCAGCGGGATTGGTATTGAGCCCTGGGCGTAGATAAAATTTTAAAAGGAGTTAATGAGCATCAAGGGCTGGATAATCGAATATGCACCGGCAGTGGATCGCCATAAGCAAGATGCCACTGATTATAAAAAATATTTTCGAACAAGGTGATTTAAAAATTGAATTAAGCAGTTTTATGCCAAATGTCAAAAAAATTGCATACATCACGCGCAGCCATCACATTCATTAAAATCGAATTTTTATGCATTTAGAATCTCTGATTTTGTTTCCGAAAATTATTTTATATTCAGAAAATAAAAATAATAAAATAAAAAGTAATAAAAGATAAATCAAATAAACCAATTTTTTATAAACTTTTGTTCATATTCTGTCTAATTGTTATCTTTAGGTTATTTATTCGCAATTTTTTGTATTATGATTATGTTACATATTGTTTGTTATACAGAAAAATGTAAGGATTTGGTGAAGAAAACAATTCTTTTAAAAGAATTCTATACAAGACAAAGGTCGGGAAACTCTGCTGTAACGTACTTACTATTTTAATCTGATTTTCAATTCTAATAGAATGTTTGTGAAAAGTGTGAAATTTGCATATTACTTTATTTGCTCCAAACTCTCACCAGATCTGTTGTAATAGCTTTATAGGACTTTAAATATAATTTATAAGACTTGAAATATATTTTCAATTTATTAATAGGTCAACAACTGCTTAAAAATATTTTTTTATTCCCTTTAGACTCCTCCATTAAATTTACCCTTTCAGGCAGCTTAATAATAAATAATGAGAGGAAGCGCAGTGATATCTCCGTTCAAGGATTTAATTCGTACCTGAAGGCTGTTCGTCAACTGAAATGTTCGTAAACCGAAACAATTTCCCCAAAAGAAATTAATGCAAAATGAATTAATTCCTTCCTAGATCACATGTGATTGTTTACTTAAAATTTTACAACAGTACTTTGTACACAGGTTCATAGCCCGAAATCAATGGAGATTAATAAATGTAAAACAACAACAAAAAAAAAAAAAAAAAAAAAAAAGATAAGCACAATATTAAGCAGAAAAAACAGACGAAAACTTAATTTAAATTTTTTGTACTTGTGCTGCCTAAGTGGAAATCGATGAAAAGCATATTCTTGTTTAGATTGTTATTTTCCATGCAAACATCAGGAACTGTCTTAAGAGGGCATCTCCTTTTGCCTTCTTTTAATCTCTAAACATCAATCGACTTTGATTGAAACTCATTATCGCCTCCGCTTCGCTTAAAATTAGTCCAGTGCGATTTCTTGTCACCTATGTTTTCCTTTAAAAATCATACGTTTGTTAAAATAATTGTCAAAGATAATATTAAGTGCAAAGGTAGCATGGTCTCTGAACACAGTACAGCGATCCTTTCTAAGAAAACAACACACGGTCCCAGATGATTTTGGTCTTCTGTGAAAGTGATCGTCTTAGAGAATGGTGTTCGATACACATATTTATTTATTTTCTTAAAAATGATGGTAACTTTTAAAGGTGGTTGTCTATGGAAGCTGGTCATCGCGTGAGGGTTTACTGTATTCCACTAGTTAAATCACTATGATAATATTTTACTCTTGTGGAAAACAAATACAGTGAACCCCTGTTCACGAACGAAATTTATTTTTGAAGGTCTCTTGTCATCCGAAATGTTCGCAAACCAAAACTATTTTTCCCGTGAGCATGAATGTAAAATGTATTAATCCATTGGTGATGATTTTTTGTATTTTTATTTATTTTATTTTACATTGCACAAATTCATAAATGAAACAATGAATATCATAAAATTTAGGACAAAACAGATAAACACAGTATTGAATAGATAGAACAAATGAAAATATAACTTAATTTTACAGCATTTGTACGAAGGAGAGTGAACGAAAAAAAAAGGAAAAAAGGGGGTGAGGAGAAATGTTATTCTTTAGATGAAGAGTTCCCTTCCACAAAAAATATCAGACAACTGTCTTTCTTTCTGAAACATTTTCATTTATATCTTTTCTTTTACTCTTAAACCACTCGAATCTGCTTGCATCTCACGGGGTTTCAATTTCAAAGATTGCCCAATGTGTCTTTTGTTCTTTACGTATGAAATAGCTTCTGAAGTTAGACATGGGCATTGAAAATGCTTAAGACTGTTTTATCAAATGATGTCATTAAGCTAAAACTTTTGCATCTTACCCCATTTTACACAAATTTCGCGTATCAAAGAAATGGGATAATTTCTTCTTTCCTCTTCCTCTGAAGACTTTCCTGCACAGTTGCTTTTGTTGTTATTTCTGCAGCTGTTTAAGTTTTTTTCCCCTACTGAGCCCATTTGTATGACCCTCTAGTAACTCCTGCACATTTTAATGATGATTTCCAAGCCCATAGTTTTGTTAGAAGACACAATATCATAGATAAAAAAAATTAAGTGTCAAGATCCTCAAAGAGTCTGCCTGCCACGTAATTTAGCCTATAGTTAAATCTGCCAGTCCGAATCTGTAGTCCTGTAAGTCACTTACTACCAGATTTTGATGATGAGAACGAAGCAACGGAACATATTAAAATGGTGTTTGCAGAATTCCATGAATTTTAACTCTTTTTCCTGGATTAACTCAAAACATTTTGAAGATCGTATGTTATTGACTTAAAAGTTCGCAATCCGAGAAACCGTTCGTCAGCCGATCTGCTTTATTCAGGTAATTTGTTCGCTAAACCAAATTGTTCATGATTCAAGGTTACGGTGCGCCCCTTAATTAAAGTATTATAATTACGGTGCTTGTTGCCATCATTTGTCTCCAAATCTAGCGGCGCTGGATTCATTACCAATGAAGACGGAATATAGTAAACTGTGAAATCGTGCTTTAAAAACTGCAAAGGGTCACCTACCTGATTAATAAGTACCAATATTTATTTAATTTTTATTTAATAAGGTAAAGATTATCCAAATGTTAATAGCCTTGAATTAAAAAAGCGAATGTTTTTCTATTAACGTAATTACTTTAACATCAAAATAAAATAAAATTGATTGTAGTTAACTGTATTTTAAAAATGTTAGTATACTGGCAATAACTTACGTTAAAAAACTGCTTTAGAAGTGGACAAGAATAAAGGTCCGCAGAATATTCTGAATTATAAAAGTGGAAAAGAAAGAAAGTTTGAAGAAAGAAGAAAGTTTTTTTGAAGAAAGTTTGAGAAACGATGGTCTAACATTGAAGAATTTATCAATAAAGCTTCTACAAGTTAACAAAATATTTAAAATATAAAAATTATAGAAGTACAAAGTAATTTTCTATCACGCTCATTCCAGTTTAAAATCTAAAAATAATTTTAAACTAGAAGTTGATATTATTCTAACGGTTAAAGATCCTCCCAGGAATTCAAGGTTAGTACATAAAACTATAGATTTAAAATGAACTTATCAGGTTCAATGTTTTTTCTAACCTTCTTCGGAAACATACAATGACCTGACTAGAACAGAGAGCTTACTAAAGCTATGTTCACTAATTGTAGTAAGTAGACAGGATACAGACGAAGGGTATACAAAACCCTTTATTCTTCTTTATATACAATGACTTCCGTACTTCGGAATACAATGACCCTCCACTCGGGGTCTAACGTAAAAGATATCAAAATGAAACTAAACTCTAATTTAACTTTAGAATAATAACGTGTAAGATTGGCCTTATAATAACAGGAAGCGTATGTAGCACAGAGACTGTGAACACTACAATACGTTTAATTTATCAAGAGGATTAAAACTCTGGCCTGGAAGGCAATAGCAACTGCGTAACTTCTAAGGTAAGCGGCCTGCTTCGAAACTCACTGCTTCCTCTCTTCTGCTTGGCAAAAAGGCCACACTTAAATACTTGGCGTTCGCCAGACAAACTTTGCATAAAATCCTTATCGCTTATAATTCTGGCCGGAAGTAGAAAATAAGAAGTGATAGTAAAGATTTAAAATAAAATAAACGTTAGTAAAACTTAAGATCCTTACAAACTAACGAACTTTTAAAAATATCAGTGTCAAATAGTATGGTGGAAAATTTGCTACTGACATTATTTCATCAGAAATTATAATTAATCGTCATAAACCACGTATAGACTTAATAAAGAAAAGACTTAATTATTCAAGACATAGAATCAAAACAAGATTTATTCCACTGAATGATATTTTGAATCATATATTTGAACAAGATTTATTTCATTGACTGATATTATTAAATATTTTCTAATTAATTCTTCGAAGAATTTTTAATTTAGTGTTATAAAATGTGTTCACTTCCAAAAATAAAAAAAAAGAAGTGATTTATTGCTTGAAAATTAATTAATTCCCAAGCTTCGAATAGAAATTGCACACTGTTAAGAAAGCTCTTATTTGAAATAGAAAGCTGTGATTTGAGAGATGAGGCTCCTAGACAGCAGAAAATGTTTTAAAATGTCGTAGCAAAGCGACGTATTGAAGTGTAACATATCGATGTTTTTGTTTGCAGATTATATTAATTTCCTTTTAATATATTAATTTCCTTTTTTTTCAGAAAGCTGAAACGATGTCATATGAACTCAGGAGAGCTTTCCAGTGGTGCCTTACTGATCAAACAATTTTTATTTTGTCTTACAATTCAAAATATAAAAAAAAGTAATTGAAATGTTTTAGATATAAATCTTAAAATGTGTGATGCTAGGCAAAAATGTCTGTCTCTTTCAAGTTTTATGTTATTCAACCCCTTTCTTTTGTAACCTAATTTATTTTTTTAATAAAGAAGTTGAATTATTTTAAATATGAACTATTAGTGTGTTATATTCATAATAAAAATTAATCACAGAAGTTCTTTTCTTTATCAAATCAATAGAAAAATAATTTGTCACTTCATGTCAAGTCCGTTATCTTGAGATTATTTTACACAAAATTAGCTTGTAAATCTGTCTAAAAGGGGCAGTACATATTCAGTTATGTAGTTAAACTAGTCAAGCTAAGTTTGACTGCTTTGAATATGTGCTCCCCTCCCTTTTGGCAGATTTATAAACCAATTGGGGGTAAAATAATTTGTTGTGTTACTTTTTGTTTGTTTATATACCTCTCCCTAACATAATCTTGCATCCTTCATGCAACTAGCCGTTAGTCACGGTTATGTACGTTTTCCACTTTTTCCTTAGAGAGATGTATGAAGCGTCAGTTAGATATAATCTTTCCAGAAATTTCAGATTGAATTTAGTGTACTTAAAATTCGATTACGACTCTTTGACCTATTATCTGAAAAAAGGTTATAGTATCAGGAAACAAAATGTTGACCTTAATAATAAGCTCAGATCTAATTTCTTATTGTTTTGAAGATGCCCAGGGGGCGTTATCTACCAATAAAAAAGATTGTTTTAATTACAGTATTGGGATGCACTGGAACGAAAAGTCTTAGAGTAATAATTTGTAAATATTTGGAGCACACATGGCTTCTTGCGAAATTTCTTGCGAAATGGTAGATAAAACATAAAATGATTATACTCGTGACATCTGAAAATATTAGATTAATAGCAACCTTAAATTTTAGGATATTAAACGCTTTACCAATAAGAAGCGTTAAAGGAACTAGTCTTCCATGCCTTGAAGCTAATAAGAGACGTATCTCTACGGAATGTAGATGTTTCAGCGGGCTTTGTTTTACAGAAAGGTCCACTTGTAATTTTTTTTTATCATTCTCCGCCTAATATCGTGGATCATTATGCCCCAAGATGCGTGAGAAAGCTAAAACGGCTGAAACCCGCATCATAAGACTATCCAAGATCGAAATAATCATTGTTTTCCATCCTAGATAGGTCACATAATGTAACTGATTTGGGTAATAGCGACGTGGACTTAGTGAACCTTCCCTTAGACGACCACCGAGGGTACCAAATGATACTGGTAATCTGTGGAGGTTGTCATTATAAAGAGGCGATTTTTAATGCGCTTTAGAGGTGAGATATTGTTTCGTATTTGTTTTTGTAAGTTTCAGAATATTGATCGCCGAAAAGGAAAGGTAGCTCTTATTTGTAGACTAATATAATCTTCTACAAAGGTGGTCACCTTGGAGAGTTTGAATTAAATACTCAAAACTCCCTCGGGGTGACTAAGATGATTGCAATGATGATGATTGCATCTGGAAGTGATCAATCAGCAGAAGTATTTTTTCACTTAAAAAGCAAGAGGGTAAATTCGTTCTCCTTTATAAAATGCAAATCATCTAAACCCACACATTTTTATATTCAATAAATGTTTTAAATCTTTATAAATAAAACTTTTATAGCAATTTCAGTGGTAGTTCTTTATACACCGAAAAATAATGCACAAAATGTGTATAATTTTAAAATGAAAAAAAAAAAAAAAAAGCGTTCGGAAGTTTGTTTTTGATAACCAAAGTAAATAATTTTGAAAATTATAAATTGTGATGCAAATAATATAGAAGAATGTTGCACTAACTATCAAGGTATAGAGTTATAATTTAGTATTTCATTTATTGATGGAAAATCTTCAATATTTTCGGAAAAAAAATTATTTGATCGCTTAATTAATATTTTTTAGAGTGAATATCCGTGTTTGACATTTTTCTTGGTCAATGTCTTGTTTCTTATTATTTTTAAATTGACGGAAATTTATTGCACCTCTGCGTTAACTGGTAATGTTACAAATATTCTTAGAAACATTATACGAAATTTGCAAATTAGCGTATGATGAAACAAAACGAGTTTCGTGAATGTTGTTTAAAAGATCTCATAACTGCTTTATTGTTCAGAATTATCATAGTTGAATGCTTTAAAACTAAAATCTCACTGATGAAATTTATTCAGTATCTACATCATCCAAATACCTAAACGTCAAACTGTTTCAATAGTTAACTAAAAACAGCATTAATTTTTTCTCAGTCAGAAATTTAGTTCGTCAGTTCGTTAATCAAAAATTCGTTAAAGTGTTACAAAATATGAAATCGATAATGAAACAAGTTCCAAATTAGGGCCCATATTATTCAAAATCTGGTGGCTTTAGGAACCGTTGGTTTATCACAATGCGAGAAGCATACATACATACATTTATGCAGATTCTTCATTAATTAATTTCTTTAAATATAACACAGGGCGATAATATTTGGTGGCAACAATTTGAAAAGTGAAACGAACATTTAAAGTTTACAACACAAAATGCCGAAACGAAATTATGAGCTAATGCCCTTTGGGGTTAAAAATATAGAAAAGTTAACATTAAAAACATTTTTTTTTTTTTTTTTTGGAAAAAAAAAGAAAGCTTTCAGATTTTGTATTACGTCCAAAGAGGCGTTTCTTTAACGCTTTGTGTGTTACCATTATTTCTTAAATATCATGTTTTCGCTCTTAAACCATAAAATTAAATTCAACAGCAATATCCCAAAATATTTAAAAGAGCATATCTTTAGAATTTTCGATACACAGTCTCTCGCGCTTAACTTTTTTTCTTACAATGTTACCATTGCTCGCTTTGAAATTGTTGAGGTTCTTAATCAAAAACTTTACAAAATATGAAACAGCTAATAAAACAAATTCCAAATTTGTGCTTCCAGATGCCCATATTCGGGTGGAGTGAAATTTGACTAGTTTCATTTATTAACATTTCAACTATTCTATTGCCATTCAAATGACGCGCAGTTTTTTTTTTTTTTTTTTTTTTTTTTTTTTTTTAAATCTTGAATTTGCGATTTATTGTCTGCAGCTTTAAACTTTTAAAACAGTACATTAAATCTTTAGAGAAAATGAAATTAGATTGCGATTTGCTTAATAATCAGCTATGATTGTAAGTTTCAGTAATTGTTGTAACTCTAACTGAGCAAGCTCCAAGAGTACTGCGGTATGTACTCTTGGAGTGAAAACTTTACCTTCCCAACAGTAGAAAAGAGCAAGCAGGAAGATCTGGGTGCATCTTTTTAAAGAGAAACTACTTCGATGCGAAGAAGAAAGCGAGCTTTTTTATAATATAGTATATTACTGCGAATTTCACCATAACTATGAATGATCGCATCTGCTCCTTCATAATCAAGAATACTAATGCAGATGCCAGTCCAAAAGAACTTGTTAGCAGCTGCGGAGATCAGCTGTCAGATTGCATTTATTTCATTGATGATGTAATTGTATTTCTTACTTCTATAAATGATTGTCTTGTAGGCTTGTCTAGAAAACGAATAATAAATTTATGGAATGTGCGTTTATTGAGGTAATAAACAAAGCGAATAATGATAAGAGAGATTAACGAAGAAAGTGAATAATGATAAGAGAGATTATTACAAGGAGATATTGCAAACTTTATCTTTGGAATAGGCTAATAAAATAACTTTTATTGTTTCGTACATTCCTTTAATATCTTAGGTTTTCTTAGGAACATTTCGTTGCATTTAACGCAAAATTTCTGTTTTACGAACTGTAAATGTTACTTGGATTAGAAATCAATTTTTAAATATAACGTTTATGCAATTTGACATATCGGAAGTAATTTTTCAATAGATTTTGTGACTCAGTAATTAATGACATAAAGTGACTGATATTTTATTCGCGTTAGTTTAAAATTAAACTCCCATCTTTGTGCTTATACTGTACTAAAAATCTCTACTAAAACCGTGAACCTTCCTTCAGACGATAAATCCCGTTTCAGGAGATTTGCATCTTCCGGTCGTTTTAGTAATGTTCGATGCTTATTTATGCTATCGGAAATAATGGTCAGAGGTGTTCATCCGCAACATATGGCGAAGTGAGGAATTTCGGTATATAGAGAAACCTCAAGCAAAGTGAAGAATTTCAGTATATATCGTGGCAACCACCTTTACAAAGTTACAGCTGCCAAAACAACTACGACCCTTGAATGCCTTATGAATTATTTCGAAACTCTTCGAAAGTTTGGGTGGAAAAACAACGGTAATTGTGTAGACGTATTTTTCCTAATTTTTAACTCTGCGATCTTTACACAAGGAATACAATTGATTATACGACCCACATACATGTATATCCCAACGGTTTGCATAGTTCATCTAAAAAAAAAAAAAAAAAGAGAGAGAGAGAGAGCGAAACGAAAGACCTAGAAGAAAAGCAATGTGATAAGGTATTGATAATGATTACCTGTGCAGTATTATTTCAGTGTTCTTGAATCTTATATAATATATTGAAAACAAAATTAGTGTTCCGTTCTACTTAACTTTTGTTACCAAGGCGCAGTATCTAAATAAGCAAGACATAAAATATTCATGAGCCACAACTTTAAGCTAACACGTGTCTTCCTTGAATTATTATTTTCTGAGAAAAACCGCGCCAACCTTGGCCTTTAAGCCGGAAACAATTATTATTTAAAAGAGATACAACAGAGAGCTAACTACCTTTTCTCGTAGTAAAAAAAAAAAACGCGCATTTTTGGGGCTGAATGAATGCGATTCCTTTCCTCTCACGTACCTACAAGTTAGAAATCACGCGCTAACAAAAAAACTCTTGTTTTCTTCATGGCTTTTTTTTTTTTTTTTTTTTTTTTTTTTTTGGTCCTATTAGCGCTCATTGTCTTTTGATGGTCTTCAGGGAGAAACAGGATCCAGTTAGAAATCGATTTTACTTTAATGAAGATAATTTAACGACATCACTAACCTTCCTTTGAGCATTCTGACCTAATTTGAAGATGGTTTTGCTGTTGATGATATGTTTATTAGCAAAAGCTCTTTAGAAACGCATGCTTTTCGTTTCACCCTGTTACCATGCTGAAGGAGGGGCAAGGATTATGTTGCTAGTTTATGAAAGAATGACTCATTTAAAA